GGAAAGAGAAAGAGGAAGACACATCTCACATTATTTCGAAAGCTCAGTCACCGGTGTGGGGTCGCGTAGGAGCGCTGACCTGGAGTTGAGATATTCTGTGCTCTTCCACTTTGAAAGTTCCTCTTCCTATCTAGGCTCAAGGCAGCTTCATTTGCAGAATGAGAGAAGGGGGCCGTACTAATTTATTTCTAAGTCTCTAAGAGATACTGTGCGTCCACAAAAAGTCACCCAAGTCTCTTTTCCAATTCAACCAGCTTCTAGCATCCTCTGTCTCCCGCTCTGAAAGCAGTTGTTTCCATAATTTGGCCTCTTCTTCCCAATAGACAGAGCAGTTAGGGTAAATGTAATGCTAGGTCTCACCTAAAAAAGTAAAATGTTGCCTTCTTTGCCTCTGGCTAATTGCACTGGGCACAAAAATCTCTGTAATTTTCATGAACAGATCTTGTTGGTTCAGAGATATTATAAACATTTTCTTTGTGCCCCTTCATTCATTTTCTCTCTCTCTCTCTCTCTCTCTCACACACACACACACACATACACACTCACACACACACACATGCATATATGAAGAGATGTATATCTGAATATTTGTCAGTTAAACCTTACTTAGTTACTGGAGAAGTGGGCTTTAAAATTATTTTGTGGAGGAAGCATTTTCTAGACTAAAGAATCCTTTGACAAAATAAATTGCTGTCTGTAATTTTTGTTTCTCTCTATATTTATATATGTATTATGTATATAATTTGTGTTTGTATATACTATGTGTATTTAAATATATATACATATCTATATCTATATATATATATATCAACTCTTAATAGGTGTTATTAGAACCCTGCATTTTTCTACTCTTTTCACATTTTCACTTTAATTGGCATACATAAGAATAAATCATCATTATGACAATATATTTGAATAGCAAGCAGTGCCCAGCACTGTGCAAATGCCATAGGAGAAAAGATCTGGGGGTAATGATAGGGCACATTAAAGGTCTACTTTGTGCAGCTCTCACATCCTTGTCTCTGTTACCATAAAATTAATGTTAAAGAGTTTCAGGATTAAAAGCAAATTATTTTGTCTAAGCAAAAAGCTAGAATTTTTCTGAGGATCCAGAGTCATAGTTTTGCTTCCAAAGCAAAAGAAAAATATCAGATGATCTTGTTTCATGTATTTTTCAAATACTTTCTATAGTTTATTATATTTAAAACTTCAAGATACAATATCAATAAGATATTGATATTAGTGTATCATCTTGAATCTATCCCAGATAGCTGTATGATTTTTAAGTAACATTAAAACTTAATTAGTTTATAGCTATGGTATTAAGAGTTCCTTTTCATCTCTTATCCATGAATCTCACAGTTCTCCACTGACATTAATCCTCACAGCATACTTCTAATGGCATTTTTATTGTAAGTATATTTAGAGAACAGATAAATGGAAGCTCTCAGACTTCCAAAGGTCAAGCTGTTGATTCAAGTCTATACAGTGAGCTATATACAA